TCAGACATTGCCAGTGACAGATCCTTGTGGAGACAGCTTGCAACCCAATGCACCGAACGGCGCGGGGGGGGGGGGGGAATCTAAGTCTAAGTCCACTCATTTTTAAAAACAAGACATTCTGAATCAGCTTTACCTTTTTTTAAATTAACATTTTAAAGTTAAAATGTTTTATGAACACACACATAACGTGCTCTGGTACCATGATAATGATACACTAACACTGACTTCATAGTCCATTATTTGAATAATTGTTACCATACACTGAGATTTTGTATATGTGCAGGTTTCAAGACTGCTGATGCAATCATACGCGAATTAAAACTTGCAATGTTATTAAAATTATTTTTAAAACTTTAATTTTTACATTGTGGGGGAAATTACATTAAATAAGTTTTACAAAATACGAATTAAACTTTCTATGGACCGGAGTTGACACACGTACCGAAGTTTGCACATTGCTGAACTAACACGTCAAAATATGTCAGCCTAGAGTTATCACCCTGTTCATATTTTGTGAACGCTAAGATGTATTTAAAAACTTTTTTTTCTTTGTGTGATCTTCACAAGTTGCAATGTAAGGTTTCTAAACCTTATCTTATATAATTCAGACGTTACTTCAAAAAGAAGATGATCACGTCCTTAAAAGGCAAACCAACAGAAGTTCCAACAAAGCTTGCTCAGATACACAAAATGGTTTTTGATATGAAAATGTTATAAACCTAGCGATGACCCAGTGCGTCTAACCGAAACTTACATTCAAACTAACTTGTAAGTCGTATTTCCTAATTGGTCGTTAGAAAAGCGGAAAAAATTGTCAGCTTTTTTTTTTACAAAAAAAAACAACCCAAAAAACTTAAGTAAAGGTTTTTTAAAGGCATATGTTACATTAGAGTCATACATGCTCAAAATGTCGTCCGTGCAATTCAGAACCCTGAAATCCAAGCTCGTGTAGCGTTTTGAAGAGTAACTTGTGAGATATCTTCCAAGCTTTTCCAAACCTCGTTTTCAAATCATCAATAGAGTTTGTCACATAGATTATTCTGAAGCTCTGTTAATAGCAAGCCCCAAACGCAGTAATCCATGACATATGTCTAGACTTTTGTAACCTATGATTCGTGATCTTATCTGACGCTCAAGTTTTCTGCTTTTCTAGTAATCATCCCGTATTATGTTTTAATTAGTGTTCATTCACGTAACATGCATACACCCAATAAAACAATGAGAACTTTTCAAAACTTAAGAAAACAGAATTGAAGTAGCAGTAGATAATAAACACTATACATAATCAAATTTTTGTTTGTTGCCTCTTCTGTGAAAAGAAAGAAAATTACTTTAAAAAAAAGAGGAGTCATTATTAATTGAAGATAGTTTACTTTCTAGTCCAAACCTCCCGCAGGATGACGGGGTATGGGAGCAGGCAGGGTTTGAACCCGGGACCATCAATAAATCCAAACGACAGTCCAGCGCGCAAACCGTACGAACAGGCAGCAATACAAAGAAATAGAATAAAAGAAGTCAATGCACTTTAAGTATTTAACTGGTAGATACGTTGTTTTTTTCTTAAACCTGCTGACCAGAACGTTGTATAACATTAAAAAGAAACTACAACAGCAAAGAAGTTAGTGAACAAACAAAATCAAACCCGTGTAAGAACAATGGAAAGTATTTTTATTGTACAAAACACATTTCTGTATATCCATGGCAACAGTCCAACTAGCCGGGTGTACAAGATAGTAGACTAATCTCATGATGTATTTACATCTCATACTTATAAAGGCTTATTTATTTGATAGGCTACATCAATTTGTTAAACATGAACCATAAACAAAAATGTTTAACATTATATGATGTAATATCCTTACATAGAGATACAATCTGAGAGTTTTTATTGGCAGTTTATAAAACATTAAATTATGATTCTTTACACACACACACGCTCACACTCAAAGCAACATCTTGACATTTTCTTTTAATGCAAACAATGGCCAAAAGCGCAGAGTTAGATCCGTTTGTTCATATCAGAATTCTGATTGGACATGATAAGAGAAAATGGCTTAAAATATTATCTCCTGATCTGTGATGTATAAATAAATCCTAGACTCTGCCACTCCTTCATAGCCTTTAAAATAGCTGCTGACATTCATAGATAGCTTCAGGACCACATCTTGAGGACCCTCAATACGTTTAACTAAGGTCACCCTAGAATAGTCTCGACTTTTTTCCAATGAGAAATTGTCCAACTGGGCAGGAACAACGCCAGGCTTTAGTGCCCTAGAAGACACCAGCTCCATTGACCATGTATAGAATTTATCTATCAGCCTGCTGCCTGTCATAGAAAACAGTGGTGCAGGCACGGTTACGGTGGATGCAAAAGACAGGAAGTTGTACGTTCTAGATATCAGACCTTTGCGGCATTCTGGGCAATCAAGGGATATACGTTTACACCGTATACTGTAAAATATATAAAAAATAAATAAATCAGCAACAATATTTAAGGGCTCTGACCTATCACTAATTCTCCCACTTGCATATTTACTAATATCCTTGTGACTCAAAACAACTAAGCCATTTTCACCATCGAAACCGCAGTGGTTAAATTTAAAAAAAAAAAGATTTTTTAATTTTTAATTTTGACCAATACGTTTTCTTTTAAAGCCGACAAATCAAAAGATATAGTTCTTTCATAAGAACTACAAACTTAACAAGCATAAATGAAAAACTATAAATGCGAAATTATAATTTCACTTATCATGGCCAACTCACCTGTTTTGACCAGAAGAATTTATTCTGACAAATCCATCAGGACATCGGACAAGAGGACATTTAAAACCACCCCTTATGTTGAAACACACACTGTCGCCAGCAGGACACTGAGCTGACTGTTCTGTGCATTCATTTATATCTAGACAAAAAAATTTTTTAATTCATGTTGGGAAATAACTATTTTTTAAAATTCTACTATTCTAAAATAATATATTGCTAAACATTTATGAATGAAATTTAATCAAACAGCAAAAGTAATTACACTATTAATTACATTATTTAAAAAAAAAAAACAACATTAAAATAAATAAGCATGTCATTTAAAAAAATAATGTACCTTTATTTACTTATACTTTTATTAATAAGCTTTGTGACACTATAAATTTCTTAATGTCTGGATATTTTAGTATTCTTTAATTAACTTGAAATTTATATGTAAACTTTTATTTTTCTTTTAGAATCGGCATAATTCAATTTGTTTACCTTCACATTGGCGACTGTCTGGTTTGAGCCTGAACCCATTGGGACAATCACATTTGTATGATCCAGGTACGTTGATACAATGACCAGTACACACTCCTCCTCCACCATTGCGATTTGGAAATTGAGTGCATTCATCGATATCTTAAGATGGTAAACAGACTGATAATCATGTAAAATGTTTAAAAAAAGAGCAATTCATTTCTTTGATATTTTTTTTAATCAATATAAATCTTCAATACTCATTACTATGTATACATTTTTTTTTTCTGGTGCATAGAAGAGAATATATTATAATGCTGCACATTTTGTATTATCTAGTTAGGTACTTATATTAATTTTTTAGTTTTTGCACCAAATTTCTGTCAGCAATAATTCATGGTGTTAGGAATGAACTTAATTACTGAGCATTTAATCTGGTTTAAAATATTAAATCCACAAAAAAAAAATAAACAGCTTGTGTTTTTTTCACGCTCTTAAAGATTATCTATAGCTACATTACCTTCACATGATTTCTTATCGTCTTGTAGTTGGTAACCTTTGTTACAAGAGCAGAAGTAAGTTCCCACTACATTGACACAACTATGTTGGCAGATTCCATGGTATTGACATTCATCCACATCTGTAAAGAAGAACATTTCTCCATCTAGTCCATTGAAAAGAAAATTATCTCAAGGTAGATCTCACCAGATATAATGCTGATGGCATAATTATGTCCCACTCAATTAGCCAACTTGAAATAGTGGCTAACTACATTTTACACAGCTATGCCTTAGTTAACAATGGTGTTCTGTTGCCAACTGTCAAAACTTTCACAAAGACTTTCTAAAATTAACAATCAAAAGTCACAGCTTTTCCTCATATTCCAATCAGAGATCTAGTGAATCATTTTTTTTAAAATATAGATACTTCTTAGTAAATCAAAATCATCAATTAATTTTAACCAAACTCACCAGTACAAGTATCATTATCAGCTGAAACCAATCCTTCAATACACTCACATTTGTAAGAACCTATGGTGTTGACACATTTTGAGGCTGTTGAACAGATTGATGGAAAATAGAAGCATTCATCCACATCTGAAAAATTGAAAAAAAAAATTGATGAAAAAAGTAAATGTCTTGTAGTGCATTTCTATTTTAAGTTTTAAAGAGATATTTTTTATAATTAAATATTTGCAGAAAAATAAAATGCTAAAATGTTTATTACATATTAGACAAAAAGATTTTTAAAAAGAATAAATAATTTTCAAGATTACATAATAGACTCCATAGTATTCCATATGCTAGGGCAAAGTTGTACAAGTGCTCTTTCTACCGTCATTAGAGAATGGAATGGGTTGCCTCAATCAACCAGAAAAATCAATAACTAACATGCTAAATGAACATGTTTGACTAGATTAACATATAGATATGTAGTGGATGTAATTATCATCTGTTTTGAAGAAATGTCTGAAAGGTATAAGATAAGTCTCTCCATAAAATAAAATATTTACTGACAAGCCATTTCTTTAAAATAACCAAAGTAAAGCAACACACACCAAAGTAAAGCAACACAAAGGTTTAAAAAAAAATGTATCTCAATCTCACTATTTTGACACAGAATAAGAAATAAAATCACAACAATATGCTTACTACAAAGACCTACTGACCAGTACACCTTCCAGGAACATCATGCTTAAAGCCTCTTGGGCACTGGCAAAAGTAAGTTCCTTGTTTATTCACACACTGCTGTTCATTGGTACATTTGTGAATACCCTGTTCACACTCATCAATGTCTTGGACAAGAAGTAAAAAAGAGAAATGTCAATTCAATCTTCTTTTGTGGCTATGAGATGTATAATGATCACTAAACATTTTGTTTATTGAGATCAATCTTGTTAGAATATTTGTATTATACAGATTTAGTAAATGCTGTTTTTTTAATTATTGAAATACTGAAAGTCTGCTGTTACCTTGACATCCTGTGGTTTCTGTTGGCTCATAGCCTGGTGGGCAGTTGACATAGTTTCTGCAGTAGTAGGAACCTTTAGTGTTGATACACTTTTGATGACGTTTACAGTAGGAAGCACCTTCCAATTTACATTCATCAATATCTGAGAATTCGGAAACATCATCAAATTACTGTAAGGGCAATATCATAACCTATTTATTTAAATATCAGAAAAATTTTACAGTTTTTAACAAAAAAATCTACATCTAAATTGATGATGTATATGTTACATTTATAACATGACTGTTTAAAGTTTTAATCATTTTAAAAAAACATGTTAAATATGTACTTAACTATTTTACATTAAACATTTATTAACTTTGCAATTGTTGAAATGAACAATTAAAGCACCAAAACAACTGTTCTTTTTTATTAGGTCTAAGTGGATCCTCTATAATAATAAAGCTTGTCTTCAAGTCCAAAGATTAATGAGAAATGCAGTATTTCCTGTGGCTATGAAGCCCCATCTGTGATATTTTGCCAGTTCCAGCACAGGCCTAACCATTGTCCACTGGTGGTCAAATTATATTTTCTTTTTGCCTTCTTTGTCCATGGCAGCAGATTTTCTTCTGGTCTCAAATGTGTATCCTTCAGCTTTTGCAAGTGACCTCCAGCTGTCTCGTTCTGAATCCGCATGCAACCAGGTGCTTTTTTCATGTCAGTTAAAGCAAGTTGGCACCTAAGCTGGTTTTTAAAGCATTTCAGTGGGGCATCTCTGTTACATCAAATACCTTTCAGCTCACCAAAAAAGACTAAAGACTGCTTTTGGCATACGTTCATCCCCCATATGGGTGCTTTTGGCATACATTTGTCCCCCATACAGGATATGTTCTCTGTCCAGCGTAACTGTCAGTCCATAAGAACTATACTAACAGCATATTTATATCATTGTCTAATTCATTACATCTAAGTCAGTCTGGACCTATACATTCAGAATTACCTTAGGCCTACTAACATACCTACACAGTTGCCAACTTCATTGGGTTTAAGTCCCTCTGGACAAACAACATCAACACAGTCTGCTTTCTTGCGGTCAAATTTTTGGCCAGGAGGACAAGGTTTTGGGTTGCATCTGAAACAAATTGTTTACTGTAACTTGAAAACCTAAACTAAAGCAAATCTTACTATCTTGCTAGCATTCTACTAAATGATTTCAAGGGGTTTACACGCAACCTGAATGTTCCTTGTAGATTTAAGCAGTTGTAGCCCTTTAAACAATTATGTGTTCCAAGTGCACACTCATCATTATCTGAAAAAAAAAATGTTTTGAAAAAAATGGTATTGTACCAAGTGATAAAAAGTTGAATTAAATAAAAAAAATAATAATCCATTATCCATGAAACAAAATGACTTGAAGAATTAAACAAAAACTTATTAAAAGATACATGTTTAATTCAGGCATTTTGAACACATATTAACCAGCTTAAGAAAAAAAAGTACATTCTGAATTCATTCATCTATAAACATCATTTTTAAAGTTAGAACAAAAAACTGTTTTGTTTTCAATGTTTTAAACATTCCTTCAGAAATGAAGATTGTTTTGTCCTAGCCCAGTTGGGGGATGGCAGCAGGCAGGGTTCAAACCTGAATCATCAAGTCAAGACTACATGACCAGCCTTCCACCAAATATAGATGTCTGATAGTTAAACACATTATTAAAAAATAATAATTCAAGAAAATAGTCACTTAGATGGCCATCTTAACCTGAAAGGAAAAATGAATTTCTTCATCTTGAGTACAGTCTATTTCATCCTGATAAGACAAATACAGATATGTCATTTAGAGACTAATGAGATTGTATGAATAAGATATATAGGCCTATTAGATAATAATACATGCTACTACCAGAATTATTATGAGACTCACCATAACATTTTTGTGTTTTCTCATCCAGTGTGTATCCTGTCCCACAGTTTCTTTCTCTTCTGCATACGTAAGAGCCAATTGTGTTCTCACATCTTTCACCCATCTCACAAGAGTCAATGCTTAGACCACATTCATTCAGATCTGAAACAGAAACATATAAATTGCAAAGAGATGTTCCGAATTTGTGTTGGTATTATTGGTGTTATGCTAAATAAATGCAAAAAATAAAATGATATTCTACAATTGTACTTCAAACAACATTAGCTTTAAAAATATATTTTAAAGTGCCCTTCTCAAATAGAGCAGATCATTTCCTGTGGTCTTTAGCTTATGAAGGTATGTGGCCAGGATAATGAACTAATTAATTTTCCCCAGCTGAAGCTAGGCACACATATGAAGCCTAACAATCAGCAACTGAGTCCAAAAAATTGACCTTGGTGGTTTAAGATTGTTTTTTCAAAATGTTTTATTAATAAAAACAGGCACTGGAACTTATCTAACACAACTATGACTTACATCTTTAGAAAGAGGTTAGGCAATAAACAACAAAGAATTTCTAAAGTATACAAACTGCTCACTTTTCCAGACAAAAATATATGCCTTGAGATCAAGGTGTAGCAGAAAATGCATCAGAAGGGTAGGATTGTAACATAATTGATGTCATGTTTATGAGAATGGCTGGTGTTAACATGTGACACCAGATTGAGAAACTCTTGAGTTACAAAACGAAAAGTAGTGACTTACCTTCACATTTCTTGGTTTCAACACTGAAGATGTAACCAGGCTGACACTGAGGGTCTTCTGCCTGTTTACAAATCCCAGTCTTTGAATCAAGTATAAAGCTGGCAGGACATTGTGGTGAACAGGTGTAGCCTCCCCTAGTATTAATGCACATCTCTCCAGTTGCACAAGTTGCCAATTTTTCAATGCACTCATCAATATCTAAATTACATTAAATTTACATTATTAAACAGTATGCACACTAAAATATTATCACATTAGTCTAAGTCATAATTTGAGATAAGTACTCAAAAAGTGAAGAAATTGGTTTTACGATTGTGCATTACAAAAAACAATACATTATTAGAGCAAACAATTTGTACTATAGCACACAAAATATAAATTCATACCCCAGTTTCTCTTCAACATTACAAGCAAAATTTACAATAATAAAAACAGTAAGTGACAGTTTGTTCAATGATTTAAATGACCAAACATTTCCCCATAAAACATGATATGAAGTTTTGATTAATTTACCCCTTTACTAGACACTGGGCTGCACATCTTATTGTCATATCCCTCAATAATCTATTTTACAATAATTAAATATTACCCTGCCCTTCTAACTAATTTTTTTTTTCTTAATTGCATTTTTTAATAGTTATTAAAAATTTTTTTCATGAAAGATATATTTGTAGATATTGTTTCTGAAGTACCTAATTGTAATAAATGGAATTACAAATTACCTCGACAAGAAATTTTATCAAGTGCTAGTCTGTAGCCATCGTAACATTTGCATTCAATACTTCCATTTTCATTATCCATACATCGTTGCTCACATGGATTATTCAGTTCACAGTTAGCCATTGCTGAAAATAAAACAATTAGAGAGATATAACCTGTTTTATTACTTAGAGATGATAGTGATTATGTGTATGTGGCATTATCTTACCAATACTAAAGGGACAAGTGTATGTGTATAATTTCCATGGGCTTTTTATTTCCATTTAACCACACTGTTTAATGAAGTAATTTCTATTTTATAACATCTTTCTAATTCTAACAGTTATACTAATGGTCCAAATCTGTGAAGGGTACTGATGAAATTTTAACATTTATTATTGTAAAAATAATCTCATGCCAAAGCTTCTGAGCCACCTGTACATAATCTCTTTTATGGTATTAACGAGTTAGACAATATATTTGTTTACAGATTGAAATTTGATTGACATATGATAAATGACATTCATTCTCATTATTTTGTAGGGTTCAGAAAACAAGTTATATTTTTAAGCTGAAATGAACTGTGGTTTCTAGCTCAGTCAATTCTTCATACAATTTAAAAGGTTGTTCTGATGCTAGAATTTGACTTGGGCTTCTTGATAAATTATGCAGCTTGGAAGGATATTCTCTAGTGACACTCCACAAGGGTCAAGTTTCACTAAATCCTATTTTCATCTTCTGGAACATGTATTGTCTTGATATGTTGTGTACTGTATGGAAAAAAAATATTATAGATTGATTTTGTTGGGATAGTATATATTAAGCATGCTTTTTTTTTTCTGAATTTGGATAAGAACTGGCCCATCTTTGGATTATATTACTCTATATAATTTTCTTCCCCTCATTTCAGATAAAACAGTTCTTTTGACTTTTTGCATATCCTTCCATATTTGGCCAGTCTGTCTCTATTTCCCTCTGTCTGTGTGCTGGGATCCAATGGAGAACAGTTTTCTTCTTATTATTGTTGAGGTTTGTTTATTGTTGAGTTTTTTGATATAGAAGACCTTGGAGTTTTTCAAGGTTTGAAGAAATGTTTTACCTTCATGAAGATAATCTGACTGATCTGTTAATGACTTAATAATATTAAGTTTACTAATTAATGTCTACCTACAATAATAATGCTTGTCTTTGAATCCAAAAAAGGAGGAAGTGTGGAGTATTTCACATGACTACAAAGTCCTAACTGTGTGTCTACATATTTCGTCACATCCAGCAGAGACATAACCATTGTCTGCTGGTGGTCAGCTTATGTTTTCTTTTTACCATCTCTTTGCCTTGGCAGTAGATTTCCTTTCGGTTTCAAATATGTATCTTAAATGTGATTATCAACTTCTCTTAAAAGTAATGCATTATTGAATACTGCGTTTCCCAGATGTGTTAATTGGTCTACCACGTTGAGAGGGTGTCCATTCACAGTGATCAGTGAAGACAAGTAGATTTTATTGGATGACTTTTGAAACTGTTTTTTCCAAGGTTTAATGTTAAATCAAAAGAAATGGCAGCATACACAAAAAATGTTTACATAATTAATTCACAAACACATCTGTTCATACCAAAATATATAAAATGTGATACATAAAATAAGTCACCTTCTTTGAACACATTCTAACTATTAAAA